TGTTTCAGACAAAAGTAGAATTTCAAGAGAGATGTATTTTTGTATGTTGTTTTCTTTTAAATGGAAGCGTCAAAAAGGTATGAAAGTCATCTCCACTTTTTTAAGTGGAATTATATGACTTGTTCATATAATTAAAAGATCTCTCGAAACCGTTGTACTTTCATCTGAAACATTTCTTACGTATATTAACATTGTTACCCTCGTTTGCGTGGATAGCTCTCACGAAAATAAAGACACGAGTATTTAAAAAAACGAGAAAGCTTTATTACAACAAGAACACAAAAACACGTGATAACTCAAAGAGAATCGTAACGGAATAATTTAATGGAACGCGCGTCAGAAATGTGTGAGTTCTGTCAATCTCAGCTCTCTTTCAAATTCTGAAGATCGCCGCTCGTTCATCTGGGCACCAATCATGGAACAAGTCGAAATGGATTCCGATCGGAATTATTCAATTATTCCCTACATGTCTATTATGTTTTCTAACATAATCTAATTCCGATAGAAATTCCGACATGTTCCACGATAGGTACCCTGTTGCCTTCATGCCGGCAGCTATCCGACGGAACGGAATCGAAATCGCAGGAAGTAACACTCATAACTCATAAGAGAAATATAAGAACCAAATGATAATAAGTAACGGGCAAAGTAAGAGTCAACACGTTTCTTTGAAATTAACAAAAGAATATATTTCAATTAACAAAGGTAAAATTACATAACGTTACAAAGCTCCGAAACTTGTAACGTTATGTAATTTTACCTTTGTTAATTGAAATATATTCTTTTGTTAATTTCAAAGAAACGTGTTGACCCTTACTTTGCCCGTTACTTATTATCATTTGGTTTGTATAGAAAGAGTCCTTTGATTTGTTACCTACAGAAATATAAGATTTAAATATAGCATTACCAAATCATAATATTTCCTTAGACCAGGCAACTTACGTACCCTCTTAATGCAATTAAATTAAATTATGATTCGCGATTAACAATTGCTTTCTATTACGTTAATTTTGTAACTACTAAGGAATCGCCGTTCTCTAATCGGTCTCAACAATTGCACCGCGATGTACGACAGCTTCAGACACGCCTTAACAACCCCTTAACAAGCTAATATGAAGGCCCTGATTATGAACATCCCTGCGCGCGTACCTTGCAGCATCGAAGGTAGATACTACATTGGCTGACGTAATCAGCGAGCACAAATCCATTAGAGAATTGAAGCGTGCGTGGCGAATAGGGGTGCCAAAGGGGTACGAGAGAGCCTGGATGAAAGAGACGCAGAGAGAGAGAGAGAGAGAGAGAGAGAGAGAGAGAGAGAGAGAGAGAGAGAAATAGAGAGACGGAAGGAACAACGAACAGCGAAGGAAGGGAAAAGGGGGTGAAAGGGGGTGGTAAGGGCTCCGCTTTGGCGCCATATGGCTGCTGGGCTGCTTTATCCGTAAACCCATGGAGTACATGCAAGTACCTATACGTACGTAACCGCGCGCATGGATTTCACCCCCCCCTATGACCCACAGAGTGAATATCTCGGCGGGCGCGAGACGAGGGGAAACACGCGAGAAATTACTCTCGAACGCGCGGCCGCAGAGTCCCGTGAATGCGCGGATTATCCATTGTTATCGACGCACCCACCTAACTCTCTCCACGCAACCTGGGCGGGCGTACGTACCTGTACGAGTGTACGCGCGTCCAATTAGCCGAAGATTATCGCAGTGTGTCGCCGCACGCGACATATGACCTTGCACCGTCAATTTGTATCCCGTAACGCTTTTCGAATCCGCAGTCTCTTTTTATCGTTGTCACTTGACTTCGCGATTCGGACGATTCTACTTTATACTTGTATAAAAATATACATGTATCTACAAATATCTGTAAATTCAAAAATTACTTTTATTGAATCTACAAATAATAATAATATGTACTGTATGTTCAGCAGAACTGTGTTGACGTTCAAAAGAAATTTATTAATTCGTTATAATCTTAAAAGAGATCTTTACAGATTATTCACAAATATAAATGTTTATACTATCCTCCGTTTGGTGGAAAATTATTTTTAATGATGACACTTTTTATTTTACATATATATGATATATCATACAAAAGGTCACGACCGAGATTGCACCTTATTGTTAGATATCGATCGAAAAACGTACTCGATATCGCGCTCGTGCGCTCGAATGATCCACCTAATCGCCTATCGGACGAAGGACAAACAATTAGGGCCAAAGTCGTCGATCATGACAAGCTTTTGGCTGAGCTGGGCCCCACACGGGACATAGGAAATCCAGACCCTTTCCTGAATTTTCATGAATGGAGTTCTGGCTGGTAGAGTAGGTATTTAAGCTTTTGCGACCGTAGGCAAGCCGTCAACAGCTGGCCTGCGCAAACACCTCGCCATGGGGAAACTTTCAGTCCCTTTATACTCGTGTAAGGGGGTGTCCATTGATCGTACATGTCTCGTGATACATCACATGACAAAATGTTCAACAGAGAGATTGCGTAGAACAAATTCTGATTACTCGTCGAGCCGAAATTACGTTTCTTATCAATCTTATCACATTTATTAAATTGACATTTATCAAAGATCTTATTGTAATATGTCGTTTTAAAAACGTCGAGATATTAACAAATATTTCGTTTAAATTAAATTATTCTCTCTATTATTTTAATATTTATTTCTATTATTCCGAAATAATTCTTAATAATTAACTAACTACTGTGTAGCTCGAAATTCTTGGAAAACAAATTGTTTGCAAAAAAACTTGCTTTGTAAGCATTTTCTTAATTTCATTCTTATTCGCAAAATTTATTCGACAAAAGATATTTATTTTTCCGAATATTCCCTGATAGTACGATAAGAGTAGAACGATAAGAAAAACGAGCGTTTTGCTGAAATTCCAAGCATCCGAGGAAAGGAGGAACGTGATCGTACGTTCCTTTATTATTCAACGCTAGGAACCTTCTCCGCCGGTTCTTTCCTATTACACTTTCCCATATTTTTCCTCCACCCTCTTTTGCCTGTCTTTCCGAGGATATGGCAGCCTTGAACGAAGAAGGACAGGTGCAGAGCTAACGAAAACAATAAAGAGTGATTTTTTTCCGAACCGACGATTCAACCCCGCGATGCGGTTTCCGCTTTTTCAGAGCTGTTTCCCGACTTTTTTCACATTTTTATATTATTCGTGCTTTGCTCGCAAGGAAAAATCCTCAAGCGCACTTCAAAAAAAAAAAAACAGAATAATTATATGATACCTATAGTCCTGAAATAATGAAACCTCTCGCCAACATTACATAAAAATTTCACTTAATATTCATTTGAACATTTATGCTGACGAAGATTTTACGAATGCGATTATATAATGACAAATTAGTATAATCCATGTATAAAACAACATAAAATAATACACAAAATTTTTAAATAAATATTTCACAATTCAAACAACACAAATTTTTTGTAATTAAAATTTGACTAAGTATATGTTTAATATACTTTTCTACATATTTAAATAAAATAAAAATATATTTGATAAAGTAAAATAAAAAGAAAATATACATGTTCCGAATTTTTGTTTTAAAGAATCAAAAAGATAATATTCGGATTTTTAAATCCATTAAGAATTTAGAGTGATAAATCGATGATAATCAATTTATAATTAGAAACATAAATAGCTAATTGACGTCAAACGTTGTCGATTGACAAAAAAAATTTATCGAAATTACGATTACGAATTTTACACATGAGTATAAGCAAAACAATAAAAGCAAAGCCGTGATTTAGTGCTCTGAAAAGAAACCACGGCAAAACGAGCCTCTTTCTCCAGTCGCAGGAAATGGAAGTGTTTCCGTTTTCCAAACGAACGAAGAAAAGAAGGTTAACTGCTTAAAGCAGTCTTTTGCCCGCCACGCTATTAGATTCTATCAAGATCGAAGAGATTCGCAATCCTTTCTTCTCTATAGACATCATCCCTTTTGTTCATCCCTCCATAGCACCTCCTCGGGTAAGAACGCCAACCTAATCACGAAAATATGGTCTGCCTTGCAAGGACCGCAAAATCGGAAAGTCATAGTCACAACTGCGCTTGGAAATCGTTGATACAAGAATGCAATCTACTCTGTAATAGAAACCTGTGGTCGACGTTCGGCGAATTTCGCTACGTGCTGTTCGAGGATTGAGTAGGAATATCGATGTCTCAAAATATATCCTCCACTCGCAGGAAAAATAGATGAGTAAAAATTTTACCGCACAAGAACATTCGTAAGACATTACACGTTACGTTAATTATTAAATCATAAACTGAAGCCTACATAACAGAGAGCTCATCACGCACAAAGAATATTGTCAAATATGAAAAAATTGTATTATAAATTATAATAATCTGAACTGTTAATGTAGTAAAATGTTAAGATACGAATGATAAATAAAAATTACCATTTTTATGTAATAAATGCAATCATTATTACAGTGACTATAACTATTTTCTTAACATTCGCTAACTATTTACATGGTAATAATAACTAAGAGATATGATAAGGAAAAACTTAATGCATGTCGTAGTTGATCATATTAAACAGCTATGTACATGGTTAAAACAATTATAAATTTATATTATAGTTGACTCAAAAAATAACTATAAATTATAGTTAAATTATAGTGCAACCGTTTTTTTCTCTCAGTGTATATTAACAATATTACAATATAGCAGTTTAATTGAAAATAATTTTGTTAATCCACACACACACATGACAATGTTAATGAAACAAATAACACTTTATTAAAACAAAAGCGTACCTGTTCCATTAATACTATCATTATATATATAAATCATCAGAATTATTTTCAATTAAACCGCTGTCAGCTAATGCTATTAATGTATAATTTTTTCCTTGTAGTTATTTTCATTATTTTTTCAATTGCATATTTGAAAAAATAATGTAATAAAAATAATCTGTTTCTTTATTGCACAATTTCTTTTATTGTAATTTTATAATGAGAAAAAAATCATAACTTTTACATCGTACTAATAGAATTACGCAAAAGAACTTGTTCTCACTTTGAAATTATAATATATCACGACTCGTTTATCAAAGACTGACAGCTTGCATAATCGTTTCAAAGCTACGATATAAAGATTTAACGAGAAGTATGGAAAAGTCCTTGGGCCTTTCTTTTGCTGGCGGGTAGTAAAAGGGATGTAAAGGGAGAAATCGAATATCTTGATTCTCGTGGCGTGATGATGCGCGGAACCGGTTCGAGAATGAAAAGCAATAATTATCCCGCTAATTGATTTGTTACACTGGTGAAGCGGACGTGGCCGGCTCGCGTGACTCGAAGGGACTTCGCAGTTAAGATCTCTGGACTCTCTCTCCCTCTCTCCCTCTCTCTCCCCTTCCCCCCCCCTCTCTCTCTCTCTCTTTCTCTTTCTCTCTCTCTCCCGCTTACCCACCCTCAATTCCTCTAAAAGTCTCGGAGCCTATTACGAGAGTATTTATGCCGCACTCGGGAGCGACGTTCAAAGCGACAGGCATCATGGTAAATTATTTTCAGTGCCACAACTTCAAAGTTCGCTCTCAAGTGTCGATCTCTTTCTTTCACGGTTTCTATCCCCTCCTCCCCCCCCCTCTCTATCTCTCTCTCTCTCTCTCTTTCATTACGAGAGCACAATTTCTTGAGCTACCGAAGCAAAGCCGTAAGCAAGATTCTATCATATTTCGTTTAATTAGGTCGCACTTTCTGAGAAAGGCATGAAGAATTTGCCCTGCCGGCCGCGTACTGCCTTTTTCCGTAATTTTATTGACATCATTAGTAACCACAGAGACAATATTATTTGTCAAACCGTTTCCGCGTTTAATTTTGAATGCCATCGTTTTAATAGGCACGATTATTTACCATGGAAATCTACTTGAATAATCAGTAATAAACACTCTGTGTATTAAAAATATTATTATATATGTATACATATAGGGTGGGCCATCTATTGGTACGTTTTTACAGGGTGGGCCATCTATTGGTACGTTTTTAAAAATGCGATCAAATGAGCATACATTGATATTTTTTATTAATTTTTTTTTTGTT